TCCAGTCATATTTTAAAGGATTATCCTACAAATCATGCCTATGGCTCCATCCTCTGTGACCCTACTTTTAAAAAATCATCTTTCTCCCTTATGTTATAGTATCTTTCCATAGTCTTCTTTTCCATAATCCACAAATATATTCCCATCTTCCATTTTTTAAAAAAATTCCTTAGCCAAACATTTCCTATAACTATAATCCTCTTCACTTTCTAGCCAAGTTCCTATAGAATGGTTTATCCTTCACCTTTCCTTTTTCACATTCCACTCAGCTTCATCCCACTTCTATTGAATCATTAAAATTGCACTAAAAAGGTTATCCTTTCCTGTTTAATCAAATAGGTATTTTTCACTTGGATCTTATTTAAGCACTCATTTAACCTTATTGACCATTCCCTTCTTGAAGTTCTCATCTTTCCATTCTGTACTTCTACTCTCTGTCCATCTTTTACTTCTCTGACTATTCTTTCTCAAATTCTTTCCCTAATTTCTTTCTCTTACATATTTGATTCATTTTGGTTCTATCCTCTTTCACTGCCTTCTTCTGGTTTATTTCCCTCTCTAAACATTTCCATTCCAATGGCTTTAATTGTGAGCAAAGTAAGACCTATTCTTGACCTACCCACCTGCCATCTTGCACCTCTTGTTTCACCATCCTGAGAAATTATGCCATTCGTTGTGCTTGATACACATCAAGTTTTCCTCACCTCTGAACCTTCACAAATTATTTCCTCTGCCTGAAACGCTCATCCTAGCCACGCCTTCACACCACCTTTTTTTGAGGTGATAATTTTCTTCCTTTCCTTTAAAACTTAACAGTCATTATCAGGAAACCTTTACAGACCTCTCCTCTTCTTTCCAAGCTAGATTCTATTTAATACCTGTGTTTATTCTTTTATTACAGCATTTACCAATAATGTATTGGTGTTAACCATATAAAGATCTATTTTCCCACCTTGCTAATCCTTATAAGCAAGGACCATGACCTGTTCTTTGAATAATCAAAGCCTAAAACAATGTCTCTTCCATAAGAATTATCCACTAAACACTTATTGACTCAGCTGAAATCTACATAAAATTCTTTCTTTAACAGAACTCTTATATCCAACCACCTATTTAACATCCTCACTTACATGTTTCATCAGTACTTAAAATGTAAGTAACAGAGTGAACTCATCCTCACACACATGTTCTCCCCAGCAGAAATCTGCTTTTCCTCTCCATTGCCTTGGTTAGGGTATCACTATTTACCTAGAACAGACACCAGGGGGTCAGCCTTCATGTCTTTTTAATCCTGTAATCTAGATATCTTTTATCCCTTTCTTCCCATTCACATTGCTGCTCTGCTCTTCAAGTCTATAATATTTTGTGGTAAAATATTTGTAACATAAAATTTACCATTTTAACTAAGTGGCACTAAGTACATTCACATTGTTGTACCCCAGGATTTTTTTTAATAAGGAGCCATCTGGTGTTCTTACCTCTAGGCTAAGATAAGTTTGCATTGCATCTATACATTCTTCCCACTGTAATCTTTCTAAAATTCACATGAGTGCTGGGGGTATAGCTCAATAACAAAGTGCTCAACTAGCACATACAAGGCTCTGGATTAAATCCGCAGTACCTGAACAACAACAACAATATATATATATATAAAATGAAAATGATATTTCTAGATGAACTGGAATGTTTTCATTATTTCTTCTGAGTTTTCATAGGTTCAAGTTGAAATGAGTGAAAAAAAATTTTAAAAATACCAAGTTTTTCTAAAAATTTTCCAGTGTAAAGGTTGAGTAAATGAATGATCACAGTAATCAAGATAAGAAAGACAGAAATATGTGTGGGAGGTAAAGTATTAAGTTTTAGTTTAGATAATGCTGAGTATCATAGTTTAGATAATGCTGGTATTAGGCAGAGGAGATATACTGAAAACAGTTGCATATGTGAGTCTGAAACTCAAGAGAATTTTGGAATAGGGTGCTCTGGATTTGGAAGTTATGATCATTTAAGTGACATCAAAGGAGCAAATATCTCCTGAGGCATGCATGAAAAGACATAAAGAAGAATGATAAAGTACATCAACATAAAAAAGACCAACAGAACAGCCATAGCGGTAAAAGAAAAAAATATATATCACACTTTAAGTCTTCTTATCCTTCTGCCATAATTGAAAGAGAACAAGACCTTTGATACTAATGACATTCCTGAGGTGGAGCATTTTTAGTGATTTTGTCTTCTCTACTGGAACGATGATTGTTATTCATCTCACTTGGATATTTCAGGTTCCTTCTGCTGAAGAAGGATTTTAAAAAGTTAAACATGTTTGATGGAATAACTAAATAATAGGAATGCTTTTGCTGGAGAGAAAGTTGTCTAGCCAATAATTCTCTTATGCAATTGTACCAAAACTAGTGCTCTTAGCCCTAACTCTAGCCTTTTTTCTATTTCATGAAGCTCTTTGGAAGAGATCATTCAGTAGTATGTAAAGAACTTGAAACCTATTTTAGTGAACTATATTATTTTGTTAAAGATATTGTTGATTTGGACAGTGAAGAATAGCCTGCAGGCAAATCCTGCAAGGTGCTCCAGCAGACACACACACACCTACCTTCCTGTTGGCAGAGTCTCTGTTTGGCAGGTGTATTCCATTCCTTACAGGAAGGAATAGGTGCTTTATTGTATTTCAGAAGTCAGTAGGCTTTTGCAAAACTAAGTAATTGACATTTTTTTCATTTCTGAGATTAAATTTCCATAAATCGTTCAACCTGGATAAACTGAGAATGTGGTTGATCTAGTAATTGTTGAAATACAGTGGAGACATTGCAAAGCATGATATTTAAGTATTTCCTCCTAGTTTCTTACCTTAGAAAGATATAAGACTTTTAAATGGAAAAATGCCCTAATGTATAAAAAGGAAACGAAAGACAAGCCTATCTATGAAGAAGCCAAAACAAGCACAATACAGATTCATCTCAGTAATTTGGTATTCCAATGATTCTGAATTTGTAGTAATAATAATCACAAGTAGAACTTATTTTTATATTATGAGGAAGTGGGTTTTTTTAGCTAGTTAGTAGCTTCAGTGTTATTATAAGGACGGGATATATTTAACCAACTTGAAAGCAATATTTTCTGACTCTTACACACACAAAAAAAATGGTATTAATAATAGCTTGTCAAGATTTCTACCAGGAACCTGTGTTAACAGTTCATTCAAGTTACTATCAGAGTTTAGCAATAAACTTACAGTGTAGTTTTGTGATTTATACTAAAATTTTTATCCTCCACATCCACAATTTAAAGTTTATAAAAATTTGCCTAAAAGGATTCATTGCAGTCCCATGAAACATAATATTCAGAGTATATAATATTCAAGTAGCAAATAGCACTAGTTTTTGACATGAGGAAAAGCTCAACTAATATAGACTCATCTATGAAGGCAGTGAATTTTTCCATGAATCTTCTAGTGGTACCTCTAGATGGTCTTAGTAGATATACAATATTTATGTATAATTTATAGTCAAGAAATCTATAATAATAGACAGGCAATATTTGTATTTTATTCTAAGATCACTACTTTATTTAAGACAAAGATTTTGATGCACTGAAATATTCCTGTTTTCTGTTAACAGAATTTTGCTATATGCAGAATCATCTAATAAACTTGAACTAGTTTTCTGAATTATATGCAGTTGATTTGTTCATTCCTTACTGAAAGTCTTCAAATAGTCTAAACAAGTCTGTTTGACACCAAGAATACCCTCATTCCTTTAGTGTCTAGCTCTGTACTGTGTTTATTTGCAAAGGACCCTCATGCATGGATCCATATAAATGAGGCAAACTGTGGAGTAAACTAGACTATGTTGCTCACCAAGCTTTGAGGATTGTGTTTCTGAAAACTGCTGGGCATGATTTTCACTTGTAAGGAAGATTACTTGTGTGTAATATCAAGTGAGATTTTTATGCTTTCAGTGAAGAAAATAAAAGAAGAAACCAATTAATTGTCTGTTTCCATGATCTTTTGTTAAGCAAAACTCTCACTGATCCACATGAATGTGTTCTGTCACCCACAGAGTAGCCTAAGAGCACTGCAGAATAGACTTCTGAACTTTTGACTCTATTTTCATTTTAATTGGCAGGTTTTAATCAGCTAAAAATATTTTACTTCTTTGATTAAAAAGCTATACAGGTAATTTCTAGACTGATTACTCAGGAATAGAAACTTTTTTAAAAATATAGTACAGAAAATCTGGTTGTATTAGTGTCAAATCATTTGTAAATATTTTGGGACATGAAAGTTTCCCTACCTAACCACCTAATTTATATCTATATTTTCATCAGCTGACTCTAGGGGAAAGAAAGAAATTTAATGTATAAGAATTGTTCAGGAGGTTCAGGGGTATAGCTCAGTGGAAGAGAGATTGCCTAGTATTCATGAGGCCTGGGTTCAAAAAAAAATCATGCAGTATGCCAACCAATGTATTGCTTATTTAGCTAAGTAACAGGAATAAGCTTGCTAGTATTTCTATATGAAATTTGTTTCTGAGGCTGGGGATGTAGTTCAGTGATGGAGTACCTGTTTAGCCAGCCAGGTTCTATCCCCAGCATCACCAAAAGAAAGAGAAAAAGAAAAGATATATATATTTCTCTTAGGTAAAAGTCAGTTTGAAGCTGGTACTACACTTAATATGCCATGCTGTCATTGCATAGTAAATGATTCATTCACAACCTTAGTGCAAGTAGCCAAATGTCTTGAAATGAATATCCTATATATTTTGGAGCATTTAACACTGGCATAATCTGAAGATCTGACTTAAAGTAAATCCTTGGCACTCTGCAAGAGTGCCTCTCATTTACAGTGATGCTTTGTTTCTTAACATGACTACCAGGACTGCTTGGTCACAGGCAAATACTATTCTTTTTCAGCCAAATCATTCCTGACAATAATTGTACTTTTTATTTTCTTTTTTTTCTTCCTCCTGTTTCCCCTGCCCCCAACTTAGGTTAGAAAGGCTGGTGGATGTCCTGAGGAAGAAGGTTGGAACAGGGACCATGAGGACAGTGATCTGACAGGAAAAAAAAAACGACAGTCTGGGGGAAGCGATCACATCTGGTGACCAGGCTGCTTCATTCAACACTGTGTAAACACTAAAAGCCTTAACTTAGCAAACAGTTGTTAGAAGTGGGACACTCCAACTACATTCCAAGCTGAGAAAAAAAATCAAATCACAAATGTTTAACCACTTTGCTGCTGACTTGAGTTTTTTATCCAAATATATTAAACTATAGACTTTTACCAATGGGTACCTATAAGGTTGCAGCTTATTTTGTGACTATTTTATATCTCAACTTTTTATTTAGAGATATAAATTGTTTTACCAAGAGACCACTATAGAAACATGGTAAAGTTGGTCAGGATCATATCTTCACATATGGCCCTCTCTGAATCAAAGTGCAGCAAAGTAAATATTGTCTAAGCCTTAATCCACTGTGTTAGGTCAAAACTTCAAATAAATGCATTTTCCAATATAGAGTATATTTCGTAACTGAAGAAGGATGTTCAGACATGAGTTTGTAATCTTCCTTTAGTGTACGTATTTAATCTTTGTTAATATTAAAGAATATTACAAATAGATGCCACAAATTAAATGTATAATTTGCTTTAATGAGAGTTTAGTACATTAAAATTACATTCATCAGGACATGATTTTTATTTTACTAAAAATAAATACAGACTGCATTCAATAAAATGGAAGATTATTAATGTGTATTTATAAATTCATACTGTCAGTATTTTTAATGTTAAGACTGGATAATTATCTAAGCTCCACCTAAGCTGTAGAAATTGCCAAGTTTCTGTCTATTGGTCTGGTACACTTTTGTCTTGAAAATTAGCTTGTGCCAGCATGTCTCTATCTGAAAAGGCAAGAAGCCATCAAATCTACTAAGTATTCTTATTGATTATCTTTTTTTATAGATTATTGTTTGAATTTTGTTGTAAAGAAGGGGAATTCAGTATATAATATACCATAAAATTATAATGTGCAAGTAGTAGGACTTAGACAAAAGTAAACCTGCATTTGGTTCAGGTTGCCTTTATTTCATATAAGAGGTAAGAATTAACTTAATTAACATTTAAGAGGTAACTTAAAAGTTAAAGCATAGCCATCACTTCTACTCATATGATGTCATGAATAAAACTGAAACTTTATATATTTGGCTATACAAAAAATCATCATTATTTTAGAGTGAAAAGTTGAAAGGGCAATAGGAAATGACTATGCCAGGAACAGGGTGAAATAAACAAACAGTAGTAGTGAAAGGTTTGTAGACAAATAAAAATTTACGTGCATTTTTTAATTTATATTTAAGATTGTGCTAAACTAGATACTGTTGCCTATTTTCAGGATAAGTATATTCAAGGCATTGTATTGTGTCATTTTTTAAGATGCCATTAGAGATTATCCATTATTTAATTTACTTTGCAGGAAATTTTAAAGTGCTTGTCATAGATGACAGAAGAATCATAATGCTAAATACACCCCATTCTTCCTTAGTAAATCTGTAGCTATTAAATTAACTGACAAAATTATCCCATTGCATTAAAATTTGGAATTTACTCATGTTTCCTGCTTGTAATGATTTTTTTAAATGATGATAATTTGAAAATAAGGCACAACAGGGGTTAAAAATAAACTAACTGGATTTGCCCTATAGTTCTAAAAAGAATCATAGCTTTTCATAGGCCAGTGACTATATAAACATAGACATGTGTAATACTTTGGTCATACATGGAGTCTTGTCTCTGGGCTCTAATTTAAACCCCTAAAACCCCCTTGTTTAAAGAAACAGCACCCTTTAAATCATCCAAGAAATGCAGGTAAGTAGAGAACAGTTCTTGTCACAAAATAGTTTGTTCCTAAACCCTCTTAAAAGAAATCACAAGTAAACTTGAATTTTCAGTTTAGTCTTGAAGAACAGACTAACTTTCCTTGGGTTACTTTGGAATTTTAAAGTACATGAAGGGCCATATCAAGATATCTTTCAGTTTCCAAACATCTCCTCCTATACCTAAATGATATAATTAGAGCAACCAATTCCTATAATCAATATTGTGAAGTTTTACAGAATATGATTATAAAGTGAAATTTACAAAACAATTATAGTATCTACTTTTGTTCAACCTAGATAATCTCTCAAAAATAACCCATCCCTTTGAAAATGAGTTTCATTCCCTTGAAAATGACTTAGTTATCTGCAAAATTAACACATGCAAAGTATTACAGCCAAATATTGTCAACTGATTTCTTAAGTTAAAAATGTTGACCAACACAATATTTCAAATAGTCAAAATTTGTTTTGTATGAAAAATAGCCTTACTCATTGAAAATCAGGTAGCCACATATTCAATCCTACCACAAATCCAGAAGTGTTTCATTCTGCTCAGCAATGTTGCTGTGAGTTTGCTTTAAACGTCAAGTGTAATTCCTATAGTAACATGAGAATTCACTTCTTGTAAAAATAAGTAGTCCTGAGGAAAGGCAGAAAAAAATGCTAAATTTTTTAACACTTGATGATTTATGAAATCCTTCACATCTTTGTTTTTATTTGCTCCTGTCAACAACCATATAATAATAATAAATTATTTATGTCAACTATATAATAATGATTATAGGGCTTTAGTATTAGTGTTATTATTGTTGTCTTATAACTATACTCCATGCAACTATAGGTCTTCAAACCTTTCTGTTAGAAAAAAAAAGTAGTAAAGATTTTTACTCTAGTAATTTTTGTTATTATTCTACCATTTATTTTATACACATATATATGAATTCCCTAACCGTCTAAAGACTGTATGCATTTCTTTCTATGACGTACAATAATGTGAACTGTATGCATAGATAACATCATATTATGACCACCTCTCTATCATATGATAGTAGCAGCATGCTGTACTTCAGGTATCACTAAAATATAACCTTGAAGTGCTTTGGACTATTTTCAATTTGGCCTGATGATAAATTCTAACACCGTACTTTACATAGTATTATAAACTTCTTCAAGACTTGCTTTAATTCCTAGGACAACTATTAGAGATAAAACTATATATAAGCAAAGTTATTGGTTATAAGCAATGTGTAGACAGTTGTAGCAAAATTATTAATCATTAATATAAATATTTTTATTCTACTTTTATAAATAAACCATTATATTTAAAGATAGCTAAAACAGTTTACATATTTTATAGAAGAAATATTTTATATTATTTTCAGTGATAAGATTGATCCTTTGTATATTTTCTTATTCAATTAAACTTTAGAGGGCTGGAGATTTAGCTCAGTGGCAGAATACAGACTTAGCATGCATGATGCCCAAGGTTCAATCCCCAGAACCCTCCCCCCCAAAAAAAATTAAGAAATCTTTTTATAATCACATCACTTATTGATATAATTAGTTTATTTCACAAGAAAGAATATTAAAGATTTGTAGTTTTAATATTGAATAGTGTCACAATGTATATGTAGAAAAACATTTTATATGTAGTATTTTTTAAGATCATAATTATTTTTTAAAGTTACCATTTTCAAATAGTCATGATTAATAAAGCATTAAATGATAAAATAGCCGTGACACATTTTGTCTTCTCACATATGGCTTGGAAGGAAGTCAGATTTTCACAGATATTATTGTTCTTGGTTACTGTTATGTACCGTTCACATATCTATTCATATATACAGATATACCCATTCAGACTGAAAATCACATTTGCCTTTTTAAAAAATTGATTTATAAGTCAACTGTTGAGCTCCAGTGATTTCAGCATTTTGTTCGTGTTTTATTAGAAATGCACGTGGTTTCTGAGGCTTTTAAACAAATACATGAAATGGTTGAAAGATTTATATTGCTCGTGCTTAGCTAAATATGTCATCTCTAGAAAAGCTGTGGTTTATTTTGGCACTGTTTTAAAAACTCAAATATTTTAAACATTTGTTAAGTTGGAGCTTGTACATTTCAACTAGTAGCATACGTTCCAGAATAGCATCTCCAGTTACCAAATTTTTTATAATCCTTTTACTATAATAACCTTTTTTGAAATGGTTTCTTTTCTTTTTTTGTTATGTACTTTAGTGTAAGTTAGGTTAAAGTTATTACCTTTTGATGTAGGACTTCATAATAGAATTTGGCAATGGTAAATGTGTATTTTTGGGGACCATTAAAATGTTGTATGCTATTCATCTTCTTTGCAGAAGTATTAATATGCCTACTTTTAAGTTTATTTTCTAAATATAGTTTTGGAGTATACTAATACTTTGGAATTCACCAATTTCTTGATTATATATTCATTAACCAAGCTGTATTTTAATGTACTCTCATATATAAGATATGTATTTACTTTTTATTCACATAAAATCCCATATTGCAAATCCTACATGTTTTATTGCAATTTTTATACATTGATCTTGATTAGATTTGTAGATGTACAGTCCTGAAGACACTGTACTGGATATACACCATAAATATATATTGTAGTAGGGAAACAGATTAAATTTCCTATCAAACTGTGTGTGCCTTCCTTATTAAAGACAAAAGTCAACACGAATAAATTTGTTAGTTGCATTAAGAACCTTTCAAAATTATTTAAATATAAAATTATAGTAAAAAGTATTGTAAATATTATCTTTGGTAAATATGATTAGAAAAAAATGAAGGAGATCAAATTATTTTAACTTAAAAATAATAGATTGGTTCAAATATATTACAAAGCACCTCTAATAATTTTGGAATATGTGTGGAACTTTATTGTAATCAAGAGCTGAAATCTGCTGGGTATAGTGGCACATCCCTGTAACCTTAGCTCCTAGTAGAGAACCTTTGGGTTCAATCCCCAGTACCAAAAAAAAAAGCTGAAATAACAATACTGCTTCTGCTGTATTTGATTATTGAATTATAATGAGATTAATATAAACAAATTACGTAACTCTATATTATGAATTTTGAACTTAAAAGTTTAAGGTATGTGACAAAGAGGACTGAAATGAGAGTGGAAAGTAGGAGTCTTCAGGACAAAGATTTTGAAACTGGTGATATGTAAAAAAGGTCATGGTACTATGTAAACACAAGTTGTGTCTCACCATGTTTGAAACACCATGTTGTCCCACCAAGGCCTTCCTGATGTTTTTGTGATATATTTTACTTCTGCATCTGTATACAATGATCATGTTCTTAACTATTTTTACTTTGAACAGTCAATTATTTTAAGGATATATTAAAACTTTAAGATGTTTACCCATGTCTTTATCATTTACAGTGTTCTTTTCTTTGCGTAGATTTCCACCAGTTATTTACCATCTGGCTGAAGTATTTATCATCCAATCTAATGTAGGACTGTTGTGTCAACTTTTGAATGTCTGAAAATGTTTTTCTGCATTCAATTTTTTAAATTGCTAGACATTAAATTTTAGGTTTCTAAACTTTGTTTTGCTTTTTGTTAAAAATGTTAACTCTAGTATCTCTGGCTTATTTTGTTCCTGTTAGCATTCTTATTGTTGTTCTCTGTAAATAGTATGTCTTCTGGATGCTTTAAAGAGTCTCCCTATTTCACTTATTTTAACTAATTTGAATATAATGTGTTGTGGTGTAGATTTCTGCATTTTTCTGTGCTTATGATTTGATGAACTTCATTCTGTGAGTTTGTGGTTCATTAGAAAAATCTCAATCATTATTTTTCCAATGTTTTTGTCCAGCACTTTTCCTCCTCCTCTGAATGTACATTAAACCACTTAAAATTGTCTATAGTTCATTCATATTTCTTTTTTTTCTTTTGGCATTCTATTTTCCCCTATGTGTTCATTCTGAATAATTTTTTTGCTTTGTCTTCTGATTTAATTATCTCTTCTTTTGTAGTGTCTAGTGTACTGTTAATCCCATCCAGGACCTTTTCTTTTTTAATTATTTATTTATTCTAATTTGTTATATATGATGGCAGAATGCAATTCATTTCATATTACACATATAGAGCACAATTTTTTCAAGTCACTGGTTGTACACAAAGTATTTTCATACCATTCTTGTCTTCATACATGTACTTAGGGTAATGATGTCTAACTCATTCACTGTCATTCCTACCCCCTTGTCCTTTCCCTTCCTCTTGCTTGCCTTTGCCCTATCTAAAGTTCCTCCATTCTACCCATGCCCCCTCCTCGCCAGTGGCCATTATGAGTCAGCATCCTCATATCAAAGAAAACACTCAATCTTTGGTTTTGGGGGATTGGTTTACTTCATTTAGCAGTGTATTCTCCAACTCCATCCATTTACCTGCAAATTACATGATTTTATTCTCTTTTAATGCTAAGTAATGTTCCATGATGTATATATACCTAAGTTGCCCTACCCATTCATCTACTGAAGGGCATCTGGGTTGGTTCCACAATTTAGCTATTGTGAATTGGGCTTCTGTAAACATTTGATATGGCTGTGTCAGGGCTTTTTTCTTTACAAACATTGTATTTATTGTCTCTAACAGTTAGAGTTGGGTCTTTCTAACTTTTTTTCATTTCTTTTCTTGTTCATGTTTTGCCTTATCTTTGGGAACATTAAAAAAAAAAAAGGTTGTCAGTGTCCTTGTCTGTTAATACTATAATCTGTTCAATTTCTGAGTCTGCTTCTGTTGAGTTTTGTTCCATTATAAGGAGTTACATTTTTTACTTTGAATGTCTCCTAACTTTTTGTCAGATGCCAATCATTATGGAGTTTGTCTTATTGGGTATTGGATATTTTTATACTTCTTTAGGATGTTTTGAGCTTTGTTAGGGATGCACTTACATTAACTTGGATACAGTTTGTTACTTTTAAATCTATACAAGTTTTGTTAAACAGATGAGAATAACCATTAGTCCAGATTTTTCTCCACAATCAAGGCCATTCCCTTCTGAGTATACTACCTTATGCATAAGACATTTCTACTCCACCTGGTCACATCAGAAACTATTTCTAGTCATATATGAATCTAGGTCGCTATTCTACCTACTCTTTTATATTGGTTTTTGCCTTGGCCTTAGTAGTTTTTTACATACATGTGCTGATCAGTAAGTACTCAGAGGAACATGCAGGGACTGCTAAGCAGCCCTTCAGAACTTGCTCACTCTTTGTGCAGTCCTCTGTTTTCCCTTCACTCTGCTCTGTAAACTCTCCAAACCATAAACTGGGGCAATAGTAGGGCTAGCTTTGGGCCCTTCTTTCATGAGTCACTGTTCTGTGCTGCCTTTTGTCTAAAGTCCACAAACATTGTTACATTGTTTAATACGTTTTCACCATTGTTTTTTATTTGTTTGGTTTTTGTTTTTATTTTGTTTGTTTGTTTTTCAGCCTTTTATTAATTTGTTAAAATAAATCCAGTCCTGTTACTCCAAAATAGTAAAAAATATAAGTCCTCCTGTAACTCTTAAAATTATTCCTTTGGGGGGCGGGGGTAACCAAAGATTGAAACCAAGGGTACTTAACCACTGAGCTGCATCCCCAGCCTTTATTTTACTTAGAAACAGGGTCTCACTGAATTGCTTAGTGCTTTGATAAGTTGCTGAAGCTGGCTATGATCTCACAATCCTGCTTCCTCTTTATGTCTAGCTTTCTTCTTCTCTATTGAGAAATCAGTTGCCAGTCTTATTGTTCTTCTCCTAAAATTAAAGTCTTTGTTTTCCCTGATTCCTTTTTACATATTATTTATTTGCTTTGTTTTTTGTCATTGTTTCTTGTTTTATTGAGTGGGTGCCAGTTTTATTTTGTGCCTAGATATGGTCTTTGTGTATTTCTTGATTTCAGAGATCTTATTAAACCTCTGGCTTAAAAAAAAGAAAAAACTGACTTGACATTTTTAGGGAACTCTTAATTGATATCTTTCTCCTCTTCTGAGGTCTAATTATATCTATAACTGTTAACCATTTCACTTTCTTCCCAAATATCTCTCTCATCCTCTCTGTGTTTTCCATTTTTTTTTAATTCTTTGCATCTCTTCAAAGTTTTTTAAACTACTTGGCTTTTATTTCCTTACTTCTGTCTTCTGCTATGAAACCATCTGCGGAGTTCTTAATTTTAGATTGTATATATTTTTCAATTCCATAATTTTCTGTTGATTTTTGCACATTCTAATATTGTGGTGAAATACTCATCTTTCTAATTCTATTTTCAACCCCCTTAGCCTCTGTTTTCCTGAAAATTCTAGTCAGAGTCACTTTCAAATCTAAGTCTATTAACTCCAATAGCTGAATCACCTATGAGTCTTTTTCTATTCTCTGTTTATTCTCTTGGTATGCCTATTAATTTTTGGTTGAATGTAAGACATCTTGAACCTCCAGATGATTTTGTCTTCCTCTAGAGAGAATATATCCTCTACTCTGCTGAGAAGATTGAGTGGAAGCTAATTGCCATAATCCAGTCAAGTACTGTACTGACTTGAAACTGGGTTGCAGTTTGAGTAAGGTTTTATTATTTCTGATTTGCCTCTTTTCTGGTAGAATAGTTCATTAGGGATCTCCATGATAAAAGTGATATCTTCAGTGGGACCTTTTTTAGATATTCTCATTTTTACTTTTTTTAACCTCATACTTAGGACAGCTCAGAATTTACTAGATTTCTTGAAGGGAAAACTAGGCATGCATTTCAGGCTTTTTGGTTCTTCACTTTGGTCATATGAGCCATGCAAGATTGCCCAAAACTGATGGATTCTATGTTCTTAGTAGCACATTATCAGTTTTCTCACATTCACCCAGAACCAGCAAATCCATCCAGGGGAAAAGCAGCTACAGATCATCAGTTTACCACTGTTGTTTTCTCCTTTATAGGATCTTAGTCCCTTCCAGTATCTTTGCTTTCTCTCTCCTCTTATACTTTTAAGCAAATGGGGTTCTTTTTGTTGTTTTTGTTTTTGTTTTTGTAATTTTTCCAGCTTTGCTAGTTGTTCTTGGCATGAGTTCTATTCTGTCTGGAAGCAGAAATCCAGTAAGTTTTTTATTTCTGTTATTGTAGTTTTTCTTTCTAGAGGTAATACTCTGATCAGTCTCAAATGAATTTTTATAGTGTTCATTTCTATTTTATATTTTTAATTCCTGTCTCATTTCCTTATTTATTTTAAACATACTTATTTTCTGATAATTTTAATATCTCAAGTATTTATGTTCTGATTTTTTTATTATTTCTGCCTGCTATATTTATGTTGCCTTATTTCTTTGGATGTTTGGAGATTCATTAATTTGAGCTTATATTTCATAAAATTATTCTCTATGGAATGTTTCAAGACCTGGATTAAAGGGGGGTTCCTCCATGGATTCTCTGCATTTGCTTCTGCTAACTACTTGGAAGCATGTATAGGCCTTGGATCACTTTTAGTCTTAATTTGAATTTTATGGGACACTTAGGTCTTGTTGATTTGGTTTGAATTCTCACATGAGGGCTGAATTGTGGTTACAAAATTTATAGGGGAAATATTCTTTGATCCTCCACTCAAGGCCTGAATTAAAGATTTGTAAATACTTGGGTGGTTCTTGGTCTGTGTCCTCTGTTGCCTGTTACATTAGAAGGCCATGAAAACCAAAGCTCAACTTTACACTATCATAAGGCCAATGCTTTCAGAATTGCTTTTTGTGCATCACTTACCACCGAGGTTCCTAGTTTTTCTTGGATTTGAGCCTCTGAATATCCCTTACTGAATACCAACATATTGATGCATTTGAGAAGATATTCATCATTTTCTCTCCAACATCTTTAGTTGCTTACTGCAGTTGCTTACTCCATCATAGCAAAAAACACTATGGGTGAATGTTATCCAATTTATACACCCAGAGAAAATTGTACTGCTAATAAAATGTTTTGAATTTAGTATCACTTGTATACATGAGTAAAACGAGCAGATAATAAACTTACCTTCCAAGAATGATGATTGCAGCTCTTTGTCCCCACCAGTAACTACAAACAATTTTTCATTAAAGATGCTAAAATTATTGAATGATCCAAATTAGCCTGGGCATGAAAACTAACAGCTGCCTAAAATGAAATGTTTGAGTTATGAGCCATGTGCCACTTTGGTTTATCTGCAGCCAAAAGGTTCAGAATCAGTATTCAATTAACCATGTTGCTTGGAAGGGTCTGGTTACCCTGAATAAGAGCTGCTTGGTGATGAGTAAGAGGTATCCGTGACACACAAGTTCAGACCTTGCAACTCTGTTTTGTTGTTTGAACTTTCTCTGTTGTAGCTAGGGATCCAGCGTGGAATTTAAACACTTGTGTGGTAACTCCATT